AGAGAGAGAGAGAGAGAGAGAGAGAGAGAGCACAGCATGAGAGAGGGCACACCAGCCTTAAACAGGCCGACCCATTCATACCAACATGACTGAGCAGAGGCGCTCTTCGGACTGACTGCAGTCCTCGCCTTGTTGTGGGAAACTCTTCAACAGAGGAAGAGGAGGCAGAGGAATCCTGTGCAGATTCATTCTATACAGTACAGACACCTGGGATATAGAAGACAGTCCTGTGCAGATTCAGTCTGGATTGAGCTCAATCCACACAGTAACAGTACTGGGACTGTCCTGCAGGACCAACACACAGCTCTTCTATACAGTCGAGATGCATGCGATAGAGGAGACAGTCCTGTTCTTGATGTCTTGATGCACACAGCAACACAGAGCTGGGCTGAGCTTGAGGCAGACTGATGAATGACAGAGAGCTGCATAGCTGAGTTTAAATATTCCAGCGATTATTTCTCAACACTGAAGACCTCTGCTCTCCTGCATGTGTTGATCGCTTCAGTCTTTTACAGGGGAGCCCACGGAAACTGGACCCATAGCTCATTTGGATGCTTCAACACCAGTGAAACCCTGGAGTTCTGCTTTGCCGAGAGCTTACACATACAAAGAGTTTCCCTGCAGGAAAACCATTCGCTCCACAGTTGAGAAAATGTGTGAAATGGGAGATGTGTTTTGTCAGAGCGCCGAACGTGTCCCACAGTGAGAACTGAATAATAACAATCCTTACACTTACAGTATATAGCGCTTTTCTGGACACCCCACTCAGAGCTCTTTACAGGTCATGGGCATCCCCTCCACCCCCACCAGTGTGCAGCCCCACCTGGATGAGGCACCAGTCCTCTCCCCACACACCAGCTCTCAGTGGGGAGTTGAGCAGATGTTTTGCACTTCAGTGTAAGTGAATGCATTTGTGGTTGTCTTTAACAACCTTTGGTTTATTACACAAATCAGTCTGTGGGGTGCGATTAGGATATCCAGCACATATCCTGATCTATAGCTTTGCTGTTTGTTTACCTTTCTTTATGGTTTCCCCACTTTGTCAAGACGATCTAGAGGCTGTTAACCACCATATAAACACTTCAGTCCTGCTCTTAAGCGGCTTCTTCAAAACCATTTCCCCAATTCGGATTTATTATTTTATTATTTTACGACCTGAATGCAACACTCTGCCCTTGTCTGCTTTTGTCCTCATCTGCCTGGTGTTTGCGCAGCTCTAAACCCTTTCCAGTGTCGTTTGCTGCCTCTGCAGTGTTTGCAGATCCTCCCAATTTGCCTTCACCAGCAGCTAGATCCCCCTGCAGCTCACTGCTGGCAGCCCACTGCAGCTCTGAAGCTCAGCAGGTGGGAGCCTGGCCAGTCCCTGGAGGGGAGACTCCTGGGAAAGCCGAGGTTGCTGCTGGAAGAGGTGTGAGTAGGACCAGTAGGGGGCGCTCTCACCCTGCAGTCTGTGTGGATCCTAATGCCCCAGTATATTGACGGGACACAAAACTGTAAAAAGGGCACTGCCCTTCGGATGAGACATAAAACCGAGGTCCAGACACTATGTGTTTATAGCTGCTGGACAACATGGTGACGATCTCCAGCCAACGCCTCTGTCCATGGTGCTGAAAAGTAACTATTACTGCATATTTATCCCTGTCAAAGACGTCCACACACTGCCTCTGTCCATGGTGCTGAACACTTACTATTACTGTATCATTATCATTGTCCATTATGTCCATCCACAGACTCCGTGGTGCTGAACAGTCCACTACACTGAGGGCCAGTAAAAAGTAGGCACTCCTTTATCATTAAGTTACTAGTGATCCCAAGAATCCATCCATCTTGAACTCGTTATCCAATACGAGGTCACAGGAAAGCCAGAGCCTATCCAAGCCAGCAGTGGATGCAAAACACAGGGACACCCTGGACAGAGCAGACACACAGACACACACCCAGGGCTTGATCTTCCCAGCAATACATTTCCCTACTTGGACGGACTGTGGGAAGAAACTGGAGCCTCTGAAGGACACGCAAACAGGGGGAGACCATACAAACTCCACACAGACGGCACCGCAGGTCTGGCATTGAACCCAGGGCCCCAGCTCTGCCAGTATGCCACGCACACCAAGAAACACTGATCAAGTCCAGCTTGCTGGGAGAGGTTGTGGCTCGCCCCTGCAGCCCTGAAGTGGATGATGAAGCTTAGAAAGTGGATGGAAGGAAAATCTGTTGTCCTTCACCCAGGTCCGGTGGACACAAATCCTTCCGCTTCTGTCCAAGGAAC